CAGTTCAACATGATCCAGCCTTGCGCGGGTCCAGGAAAAGATACCTCTGCCGTGCGGCGACACTTCTCGAAGACTTCTTTCACGCGCGCTGTCCACTGCTGGACTGCCTCCGCCTCCTTGGCCGCCAGTCCAAACACTTCTCCCAGTGCCTCTCCCATTTGAATGTGCTTTTCCTTTTCAGGAAAACGAGCAGTAAGAAGATCAAACACCAGCTTTGCCCCATTCTCCTGAGACAACTCTTCCAGGGTTAAGTATTCTACAGCGTCCAAAGCCTTGCCGTCCAGAAGTGTGAAAAGCCAGGGCCCAGCTTGCTTGTTGGAAAAGTCTTTCATGGTCGCCATCTTTGCTTGGGTCCATGCCTTCCATCTTCTGAGTTGCTTGCCAGAATCTTCGTCGCTCCCATCGAAGCGCTTGATTCCTTTTTCTCTCTATCTAGCCCTGCTACCTAACCTAAGGCAGCACGAGCACAAGCTCCGCTACCAATCTCAAAGTGACAATGCCCGGCCTCGGGCATCCCAAAGGCACTTCGCTTTTGCCAGCCTGAGCGTGAAAGGTCCTGAGGACGAAGTACCTCTGAGGACGGAAGTACCTGAAAGCGGAAGCAGGAAGTGAATTCACATGTCTTAAGTCCTTCGGAGGACTGTAGCCAAGCGACCCTCCTCGAGGCGTAGCTTATCGCCTGGATATCGGACCACCTCAAAGAAGCCCAGGACTTCACGAGCTTGGCAAGCTGTCTAGTCTCTCTATCTTGACCAGAATCCGCTTGATGAGCGGGGGCCCTTTCGGAGAGCATCTCGACGCTTCTATCCTTTAGCCCAGGCAATCCGGCCTTCTGTAGCCCGGACGTCACCGCGGAACTCGGCTATCTTCTCAAACCAAGAAATAGCCTTCATTATCGGTCCGCAGGGTTCGTCCCTCCGGACTAGCAGATAATCTACCAGATTGACCGGCCTTCCCGGCGGCGAGAGTAGCTTTGCTTCTTGAAGCCATAGCCGCCATCTCTGGTACACTATCACATATCTCTTCGGGGCGCTAGAGCGGGTTCTCCCCGCTATCATCCAGACTGCCTTCCAGCTTAACCAGCACGGGAGCAGTGGTAGCTTGAAGCTCACAGATTTTCCTCGCCCACATATCCAGGAGCTTCTCCTCCCGTGCCTGTAGCTCGTAGCCAGTGAGCTCCAGCTTCCTTATCTTGTCTTCCGGAGGGGGGGCTCGGGAGCCATAGCAGGACCGAACCTTCGCCTCTCTTCAAAACGGTTCCACTCTATATCACTCGCCAAAACTCCCTCCAGCCGCATAGCCATTCTCGCAGACTCGCGAGATTCTTGTATCCAGTCAACGATAGCGTCTTCCAGTTCCCGGCCGGGAGTGATATTGAGCTCAAACGCTATCTGTTTAGCGACATCACCGCTATCATTGACATCCAGAGTCCAGAGTAGCCATTTCACGGGGGCCGAAGCCTCCCAGACTCAGGTGCGCTCGGCACCTGTCTAGCAGGTCGCTCATGGCAGCGCGGATCTTAGCCGCGTTCCCTTTCCCCCAGCACTCAAAATTTGCCCCCCCTTTAGGGGGTCTAGCATCCAAAATGGCCACGATATCATCATGCCATTTATCATGAATGCAAATCCCACACATGAAATACTCCATGGACTTCAATCGTTTTGCCGGAAGGGTTTTTGCTAGCGTCCCTCGTCACGAACACGACTCAACTTCATGGGTTGGCAGCCCCCGGCTTTATTGCTTCAGCTATTTCACACGCTAATCCCGGCTTCTGAGACAAAGCCACGTGTTCGGTGCGCACAAAGGGATCCATGCCTGGAGCAGGTCGTGTGTCCACCAGTCTTTCCCTACAGGCGATACGGGGAATCTCATCCACAATAGTCTCATGGCAGGACTGCAGACCGACCCACAACGCATGCGTCCATCCCATCGGAACTAGTTTGAGCACGAGCACTACGAAGTCCTGAGACCTGCGCGGTCCCTCCACAGTGCACTTGACCCCCACAGACTGTGCCCTCACCGGGCGAAGGCCGAAATACTTACGTAGCCAGGCACTACGCTGGAGAGCCGGAAAATCTGGCGCCGCCTAAGGGGTCTGAGCCAGCGTGGCTGGAGAAGATTTTGGAGGGCAGAGCTGAGAAATTCACTGAGCGGCTTTTTTCAAAAGTAGTTTCCCAGAGTGAGGCCAGGGCCTTGAAAGAGGCCTCAGGCTTGAGAGCTCCGTGTTCGGATTTCTGTAGGTTGCTTGCTGATTGCGGCCTGATTGAGTATCGCAGGGAGTTGGAGCCTTCACTGTGTGGAAGAAGAGTGGACGACAGCGTCTGGTCATCGACTGCCGGATGGCGAATCTCTGGCCACTGGGAGTGCTTTCGCGAGGCTGCGGCCTTTTCCAGGCACAGACGTTGGCTCAGAGTAGGGGGTCCTCCTTGGGCAGCAAAATCGCCGTTGCATTCAGCATACAGGCTGTTTAACGTGACTACCAGATCCAGCAGCCACTGCTCTACATGAGCCTTACTGCTGAGCCTACGGCTCACACTCCGTGAGGAGTGGGAGCCAGCTACCTGCCCCTATCTGCCTCTGTGGACACCGCGGCAGCGGGAGAGAAAAGGCCTGGCTGCCTTCCATTCTCTTTGCCATGCTTCATGAAAACCAAGCGCCAGCGTCCTAACACCGACAACCCCCTTTTGATGCACTCGCACCTAGGGCAGGGGTAGCCCAATGCCAGGCCTCCAGTGAGCCCGGCTCGAAAGGTGCTACTTGGCCGCAGCCGCGTGCTCCTTGCGCGTGTTTCATGACTGCCGCGTCAGACTCAACCTCTTTGGCAACATACTCCAGCAGAGAAGGCGCACCCATCACATCTCCATACTCCTTGTGTGCACCAGCGAAGATCGAGGCCTCATAGGTTTGAAGAGTCACGTCTTGATTTTTCTTCTCCCCTTTTGCTGCTCCCTTGCCCCCACCGGGGCCCCTGTCGGAGTACACATACTCAATGAGTTGCAGCCGACGAAAAGCGAGCTCAGCCCCTGCTAGATTGGCCAGGTCAAGACCATCATATCTTCCCAGCTTGTCCAGGATCTTCATGAGGTTGCCGTGCTCAGCGACAGCATCGGGCTTCAGAGCATGATTCTGGGTCCACCAACGATGATGGTCGGAGGGACTGGAGGGACCCCCCTTCCGCCGATTCAAGAACCGCACACACCACGAACTGGTCCGTGGCCCAGGCACATTCCAGTCTTCGATCCGTTCCTCCCGGATCTCTTTACTGACATCTCGCCATTGGCGTTCTTCACGACGGACACCCTGTAAAGCTGAGACCCAGAAGACGAGCATCCGCGGAGGCCTCTTTGCCACGGTATTGCTCAACCGCAGCTCTTGGGAGGCCCACAATGGCAACCAGGCATGCCACAACGCGCACGTTGTACCGCACGAACACTCTCTGATCATAGAGTGCCATGTCTCAGCCGCAATGAGGCAAGTTGCCTCTTGGCCAGGTGCTGCTTTTGATCAAAGGACAGCTCAGTCTCTTCTTCTGCAATAGATTGGCCGCCGCGTCGATTGCAGCAAAGCTTCCAGCAAAAGGCTCCCCCTGCAGCGACCGCCCAATTGATCACCGAACACACAAGCACAATGACCCACCAGGCGCTTGCGGTGGACTCCCTACTAGATTCACTCTGCCTATCCTGCTTCTTCTTCTTCTCAGCTTTGGCTTTCTCACAATCCAAGCACTGATCAAGGAGGCTGAGTTGACAGTGCTGGGCAGCCTTGGTTGCCACTTGACTAAGAGTCTGATCCAGGCGTGCTTCTCCGTGCACACAGCGTTCCACTAATCCGCCGCTCAAGAATCCGCCAAGGAGAGCACCAAAGTGCAAAAGAACTCCTAGTGAGGAGGTGACCGCGCGGCCCATGGCACAGCCCGGTTCCTTTCAAGACTTGAGCAGCATCCCGCGGCCCTCAGAGTTCAAAAGCTCCACGAATCTTTGTAAACAGTGCAATGAGGCAAAAGTTGCTCTACGCAAACACACCTGCCCACGCCGCACTGGTCAACAATCAAGGGTACACTCGCGGATCCCTTTGAGAACCGGTGGAATTCGAAGAATTTCAGACGAAAAATCTTTGGACAGCAATGAGTCAATGAGGCAAAGAAAGCGCCCGTCTAAATCTAAGCGCTCGTAAAATGATGATGGACAAACTTAACGGCTCTGTCACGCCATTGCGTCTTGCTGCCGCTTCCAAAACCTTAAGAGGCGTTGCTTTCATTTCAGAGGTCCAGTTGCCAAAAACAGAGCAGATGAGAGCTACAGACTGCACTTCCTGCCGGAGAAGCTTTCAAGAAGTCATCGCGATTGTCTTATTATGATGGTGTGCTTGGAGAACTTGGTATTGCATAGGTCGAGCTTTCCTAAAACTTTTCTGATCATGCTCATGCAGATTGCATGCTTGTCAACGTTGTTGATGAGCCTCCTTCTCTGGACATGATGGAATGGTCAGACGTGCAAAGTAATTCCTTTGAAAACGACATCAAAAGTCAGTCGGGAAGTTGACAACAACTGCTAGTCTTAAAAGCCCATTCACTATTCTTTTGGCACAGCTCCCCGCTAAGAAGGACGAACAGTTCAAGTTGGCCAACAACAGTAAGAAGACACAAGCTGAAAACTGCGCCAGAAGGAAGATCACAGGAAAGGCAAGTGTCAAGTCACGGGACAAAGCGAGATCGGACGCCAAGGCAAGTATTGACAAGCAGAAGCTTCTGCTTGACGAGGTAAGGGTACCTGGCCTCTAGCGTCATGCCTTGGAAAGCACATGCAGCTCCCCTACATTTCCGCAACAAAACCACTGAGAGAACAACCAGTATATCTCTGCCTAATTGAAAGAAAGCTGCTCTACAGCGTTTCGCATGTGCAGTTGATGCCTTGCTCAAAGCTTAAAGAGCGCAGAGCTGTCCAAGAAGAAAACATTTGAAGTGATGGGGCGGGCCGCAAGTGAAGGCACAATGTGGGGGCCTTGATGAGGTCCAGAGACTCTGCCAGCCTCAGGTCAGCTGAAAACAGGCAAACAGGAACTTTAAAAACTCTGAACTCCCCTCGCCTCCTCTCTCGCCCCCTCTCGCTGGGCGCCTGGCTTCTTGGCCTTCTTTTCCAATTCCGCTGCCTGAGTTTTGGCATCCTCGGTTTGGTGGCAGGAGCCCGCGCTGCCCGGACGAGAACAGCAGAGTCCTGGATCTCTTGCTGTACTTCCTTTATCTTTGCAGCCCTTTCAGCCTGGAAGTGCAGTGCTATGCAGTGTGCTGTGCAGTGAGGATCTGAGCGCCAGCAAGGCCTTGGACATCTTCTCGCTCTCTTCCAAGATCACTCTGTCCTGCGAAATCTCTTGAACTTCCTGCTGTCGGCATTTTTGGGGCTTTGGCTTTCACAGTCCTCCGGCTTGCATGCATCCTGTCGGGACAAGTTGAGCTTCTGAGTTGTGTCACAGGTCCTTCCTGCCTTGGACTCAAGGCTGCAGGCTGGGCGGGGGTCAAGCTTGCGCTCCACCTCACACGAATCTTCACATCTCTTCACATCTCTTCACATCTCCATGAGAGATCTTGCTCTGCCTCGCGCTTCAGAGAGTTGAAGTCCCGGCCCCCATTGTAGTCCTGCATCCGGCCGTCCTCATGCCGAGCTGAGGATTTGTGCCTAAGAAGCATGAATTCAAGTGCCACTGCACTCAGTCACAGCGCTCCTTCCAGAGCTTCAGAGTCGGGTAGCCCTGCACGCCATTCTCCTAACGAGCCGACACCTCCCTGTAAAGCCACCATACGGAACATTCAGCAGCTCAGGCAGCTCAGTCGCTGACCCCACAGAATCCTTGGCCGCTTCCAGTGCAATCGACCTTCTGGCCACAAGATGTCTCTGGCGAGTCTCTGCATGCAGCTCCCCCTCCTGTCCAATGATAACGTTCGGCGTGTCGGCGAAAAGCTTCTGAGCATGCAGAAACTGAGTTACTTGAGAAAACGAAGATTACCATGCTATGCTGGATTGGGTCAAGCTGCCGCCATCTGGTCCCACCTGAAATTGAAAGGAGCTGCAGAGCAAGGCGAACTGCTTTCGCTTTGAGACCGCCACTCCGGCTGCAGCTTCCGGCAGTGACCTAACTCGGATACGAGTTTTCACCAGCTCCACAAACGAAGTGTCCCTCTGCTTTCGCAAAAAGTCCCAAGCCACACCAAGGCGCCTGGAAGAACACGAAGGCCTCAGACGAGGAGAGAAAAAGGCCTCAAAGAGAAGCATCCCAGACGCCCCTCACATTCTTGCCCTCCAAAGACTTCTTGAAGTTGGTGTCGGTCAGCTCCATCTTCAGAGCACCTCTCCATTCCAGGCTCTTCAAAGCTTTGCAAGGTTCTGCAAAGCTCTGCCTATTGGGGCCAGCAAGGCCAGCAGGAGCTTCATCCTACACAACATTGGAACCTATGGAACTCTCCAACTAAACTTGGGCCCAAATCTGCATTGAAGGCTGCCATCACGTGTGCCGAGACAAAGTTTGGAAAGAAGAACTCTTTGACGCTCTTCTTTTTTCCGAGCGCCGAGCTGCGGCACGCGCTTGGCGCTTGGCCTGGCCCTCTCTTCTTAGGGTCAGATCCGCATCTTGGGCTTTTGGCCCAGGTACAGATTCCGCTCACCTCGCTTTTACACGTACCCGGATGCTCGGATGCCCAGCAACTACCGATGTCTGCTATGGGCCCCTGCTTAGCAGCAGCACCAGGATGCAGGTGATAGCCTCACAGTGTGGACGACCGTCTATTTGGAGTCTCAAAAGAGAAAGCGAGCCAAGGCTCTGAGAGACCAAATCCCGCTCGCCAGCGAAACCACCAGGCGGGAGTGACCTATCCAAAAGCACCTGCAACGTCAACTTTCCAGCGGCCTCTGCTCGGGCGCCAGCGCGAAACGCCCCCGCCAAGAAATCGAAACCTCAGACAAAATGTCTACAACTCTTGTAAACCTGTTGCTGCCTTGCTGCACTTGACGTGGTCATTCCCTAGACTCACTGACGTTTAGCTTTGAATGTGCTTTGTGAATTCAAAAGAGCGACGGGGCAGTCTCTCGCCTCATAGGAAAGAAAGAAAAAAGACTCACTGACGCCAAGTACTAGGGAACCCTTGATTGGAAACGTGCATTTGTTAGAGTGCCCTGGGGAGGCGAGGCCGCTCTTGGAAAGATGACCTGGAACAGTGACACAAAAAGAATCCTACACATTGCCGACAAACGGCAGACTCGCGTTTGGAATAACATTCGTGCCAAAAAAAAAGGATCAGCACTTTGCGAAATAAAGTCATCAAAATCGAGGAAAATAGGCACTTTGCAACAGACAGGAGAAACGGACTGTGGTTGGAGCACGCTCAAGATGCCAAATTGAACAATGCTCCATGCGGGAGCGTATTGCGAGCTAAACTGGAGCCACAATCAATGACGATTTTGTACTTTACAGAAATCAGCCGCCCAAGTTGAACGGACAATCCCCAGTTGGTTCAACAAGAAGACAACAAAAGCAAAGCTGAAGTTGTTACATGAGGAAGTCAGAAAAAAAGAAGCCCAACCTTGAGGGGGTTCCTACCACACAGAACCGGCCAACAGCACTCACTGAAGCTGGACACACCTTTTCTCATGCTTGAGCCAGAATCAAGGTTTGGCGAGGTACTGCCTGCATGATGAAGTTATTTGAAGACTGACTCACTGGCTTACATGAGGAATGAGAACTCCGGAATTTCTCAAACCCCCCCTTTCAGTGATTCACGGCAAAAATGTCAGCCACGTAGGGGCTGAGGTCAGGAAACACATGCTACCTTCATGCTGATTTTCAACTGACATCGCGAGCTTCGCTCAGCTTGAGCCAAATGATTAAATTCATCATGCCTGCGCAGAGGCAAAAAGCCTTATAGGTTCATCAGGCCTATAATTAATTGGGCAGAACATTGGAAAGGGTTGTGGCGCTGACGCAGCCGAACAAACCCATGTTTGCACATGATTAACAGGCGACCGAGGCCCTCAAGGCAGGTGGGAGTAGCATTACACAAAAACATCCCTGGTCTCAAGCCGAGAAGTGGTGATGCCAAGGAGCTTTAGCGCAGCAGCCACTTTTGTACGGAGAGAGCCTTTGTTAAAGGACCACCGCGCTGCTTAGCAGCGTTGATGTGGTTCAACAGGATGTCGTCGTTGTCATTGACGACTTCACAAGTCGATGCGATGTTGATTCCGTGGGTTTTCATAAGATGGTTCAATCTAAGTGAAAAGCCATTACGGACTACGGCGACGCATGCTTCGTTATCTTCGAAGCAAAAGAACTTGATCTCGGGAATCAGCACTTGCCACACTTCAAGCACAGGAATCACAAGAATAGCATTGCTAAACAAGGCACGTGACAACGAGACGAACTCAGCCTCTGTAGAACTTCTGCCGACAACTTTCTGCCGTTTAGAAGACCAGGAAAGAATGGCAGCAAATTGGTCCAGTTCTTTGGGGGCTCTACATAGACTTCCCGAGCCGAAGCGCACGAAGGCCGAACCGGCCCTACATTGGAAACCAAGACGCCCCCCTTGGCCTCCTACAAGAAGTCTGGCCGCGCCCAATATTGGTCGATGGGTTGCCCTGAACGCACCCCGCGCCTACAAGCTCTCTACCGGCCGATGCAGGGAAGGGCTGGAGCAGCTGACCTTGAAGCCACCACATGTAGACTTCTGGTCGTCAGGCTGGGCACCAGCTTCAGGGCATCCTTCGAAAAACTACTTTGCGGGAAAGGCGGGGCCTCCCTTCGTACTTCAAGCGTCTCAAGCATGAAATCCCGCACTAGGGCAACAGGGAGAACATTTCCGTACTCGAAACTCGAATGAGGGCCACGCGGATACAATCACGAAAGTCCGAATCCACACACAAAGCCAACGTAGCTCACTGGGTTTGTTATTTATGCGCATTAGCAGCAATGTATCCGATCAGTCTTGCACATCGCCTATCATCATTCGGGGACCAAAATTCAACTGTTGAGGCCAACATCGTGACAGCAACCATTGTGTCAGGACGCGCAAGTCTCGCAAGCCATAAGCACTTCGTCACAACTCGTGCCGCTGACGATGCAAGGTGGCCGCGTGGCTCATTATCACAGACAGGTAAAGAACATTCATCCAAATGTGGTGTTGACGCAAGTTTGACATCACGACCAGCATGTGAAAAACAAAAATCAACACATTGCCTGGCAAAGCCCGCTGTATCAAGAGAAAAGGCAGGCTTGTCCTCAAACCAAACAAGTCTGCGCGTTCTTCCAAGCACTCTTGTTAAAGGAGCAAAGGGTTCAAGTTCAACTCTCTTTGACAGGCGAAGTCAGAATGCTGGATAAACCTCAATCCTATTAGGCATTCTCGCTCGAAGCAACACACCGATTGCATCCCTTCAAGCTCGCGTCCACATAACACGACCAAAACGGCACGCACACGCTTGGCCCAAGCTACCCTCAAGATGGCCGCATATTGGACACTGCCCCCGGCCTATTACAGTCAGCACAATCAAAAGCACAAAAAAAGTCAGCGAGGTTTGCCCCAAGGTAGATTGTACTTGCCTCTCTGGGCGAATGCAATTTCAGATTCTTGCATGAAGTCACAAATTTCCCACAGTTTTGGAATGGTGGATCTTTCATATTCCTCAGCTCCTGGGCCGCCACAACACTCCATCTTACATTTCCCCACACCTATGCTCTCGGCTGTGGCCAACCCCAAGCAGAATATCTCAATTTTCCACATCCCACCACATACAACTCCCCAAACTGGCCAAGGCTGCAAGCTGCCCAAGTCAAAGTTCAACTACCCTTGCCCAACCATGGTAACAACCCAAAACCGACCTCCCGAGATTGCTGAATCTCAAAGATGGCCCACCAGTACATAAATCAGACCCAGGCCCAAGCACATGTTACTCATGCGACTGCAGGCACACCTTTTTATCGACGGCCCACAACGAAGCTCAAGTAACTTGGTCGGTGGCAACTTGCTTACACAACCCACGCTAAGGGATCAGGTGACGTCGCATCCAAATACCGACTCCTCACGAGCCATAGTATTGCGACATCACCAAGCTATGCACAGCCTCAAACTTCCTTGCAAGTCGTACACACTCCCCCTTTGGTCATCGACCAAATTCTAAAAATCGACTTCAAGCTCGGCGCACCCTATCCAGGAGAAACGAACGTAGGCCCTTGCCCTATCAGCAACTCTCCAGTTGTCAACGTGCACCCGTCCTTGTCTGCCCAAGCTAACGTCGACTATGTAGGTTCGTCGTCATCCAGTGAGCTGTGAAAGGGCAACAGGAAGCCGCTTGACAAGCTACTTGGGCACTCCATTGCTATGTTACATTCTCACACCCGGCCTCAGAAAGGTCTGAGAGTGCTTCCTTTGCTTGAGGCTGCTTTAAAGCGGATGCTAAACTTTGATAGGGCTTTCTGAACATGCACCAGTGGAAACTGCTAGGGACATTCGTCTCCCGCTTTTTGAGTCCTGTGGGTCGTTTACCTAGCAGGCGCTCCCTTTCTTGATCAAAATGCATCCTGCTTCTTGCCTATGTGCTCTTCTCTGGCGGGA